AGACTCTGCTCAGAATTTCAAAATTTCAAAATCAAAATTACAGCTTGTCGCTAAAGGACTTCCCTAATACACTTTAGAGTGAAATTGCTATTCCTATTAGAAGTGGATGCACGTACAGTTCATGTCACGTATCTGGAGAAGGCGTGTCTTCGGACTTAGGTGTGACTGACGCAGCGGATGGTTCGCGTCAACGTTCTTCCATGCCGTCGCTGCTATCTGATGCCACGCACTGCTTGCCTCTTTGCCCGAAACAGCAACGATCCATCAGGATACGAGCGATTCTATCGTGAGGTGGTCAAGAGCAGGTCGCGCGCGGTGAATGGCGCGGCAAATTTGCAGTACCGTTACCGTATTCATGGGTTGTCGTTAGCGCAACAGATCTACATTAGTTCACAGCGTCTTCGACCAGCAAGCATTAGAACGCATCTTCGCGGTCCCTTTAATTAATTGAAGGAGCTATGCGACAACACAACTCGTACACGACAGCTGGGCATGGCCAGCCACGCCCACTAGCGCGGCAAACTAGCAGTGCCCCACGATCGAACCGCCACACACCCCTGCCCATCACCATCGCGCTCGCATCTGTTTCCGCACCACGCCTTTTTCATGCGCCGTGACAAGGACTGTACTTGGTACGTAGTGAAGATTTAATACCATATTCAAAGGTAGTATATATCTCAAAAATTTTTACTTTCTTCGACAAAACAGTAATAGTGTTACAGGAAAAAATAGCAGTCAATACACAGCAAAAATACAAGGATAACAAAATTAGACACCAAATTACAGTCGTAGACATACACGTACAATAAACTGTTCCATGATAAAAGCAATATTCCTGCCTCGATCCATTATGTCATGAATACCTTTAGAGGGAAGTGATCCTGAGCAGTAGGTAGTAGCTAAACAGTAATAATAACCCTCTGTCATGGATTTGGTTATAACAAACTAGGATAAGCCACGTACCCCCTACCGGTTTAAAGTTGTTATGAATGATAGAAATATTCGGCGAGGTATTGCAGGATGAGCTGGTCAGTCCTTGTTGAGCAAATAGATGTTGCGGTGTAAGAATACGTGAAAATACCGTATCACCACATGGTATACTTTGATAGGTTGCCTTGTCGGAAATCAGCCACGGCTCTCTTAAAGAAAGATATTTTGATTTTGTGAAATTGTCAATTTGGGGAGAGCACATCAATGACGCGGGCTGTCGCGGCGCGGCTGCACAATGAATCAAGCAATGAGCCGCCTGCAAACAGTTTTTCACGGAGATGTAGAAAGACTGGGATCGTACACGAACTTTCTTTCCAGTCACTCCCCCCCCACCTCAGCCTCCTTCACGTAACAGAATATTTGTATGCACAATTGAAAAATCTTACCCTAATGACTGGGTCCTTGTGTTTTTGATTTCCTCGCACAGACCGAAGAGTTCGCCCAACTCTGAGATATCAGAAATGCTCTGACTAATCGACATAAGAGAAGGAATGACCAGAAGAAGAGATGAGACCCTGAAAGAGCCCTCTTGAATTGAGTCGGATTACAGTTACTCTTCAAATGTTTAAAGCACATTTCGCGATTGGAGGTAGTGGCGTTCAGTAAGAACGAGAAAATCAGTAAGGGATACTGAGCCTCTGGCGAAATGAAACCTTGTAGAAGAATCCCCTAAAGGAACATGGTACACTAAAAACACATTGAGGGTGTATGAGACTATCAGCCCCCCAGCTGTCGATGTGTCGTGGTCCCCCCGCCCAAAACTGCACGGGGTCAGAGTACGGGGCCGTGGGAAAGTCGTAATTCCTTGCTACACCGCCCATTTCGCCAGTTCTAGCCCTCGTCATCATCTTCGGTTCTTATTTTGCAACACCTAAAATGCTTATCCGCATAAAGAAATTTGTTGCCGTCGTGACCTGTACTCGTATTCAAAGCGCATATTTTACATGGGACGCAAATAAGCAAGAGAGTGCGGCACGCGACACGCGGCGCAGCACAGTGAGTGTGCGAAATGAGACGGCTGTAAGCAAGGAATTACGACTTTCCAGCGGCCCCCGTATTCTGAGCCCGTGCAGTTTGGGGCGGGCGGACATGAAACATCGAACAGGCTTGGGGGGCTGACAAGTTCATGCACCCTTCAAGTTGTTTGAGCGTACTGATGTTCTTTAACTCCCGAGCATTATGGTGGGGTGTACGCCAAAGAATATGTGCAATGCTCAGGATGAGTGTTCTGTTATCGAGTGGCCTTAAAGGCAGTGGACATTTATCGCCGTGGGAAAAAGCGAGGTTTGTTGCTGGCGTACATTTGACGATGGCCAGAGTGGGAGTGGTCCAAAAGCGCCTCGCAGCCGTTCCCACAATGACACCGAACCACCGTCACGCCTCCAACCACGTGCCCACTGAAGATGACACTCATTCCCCTATGGGCGTCACTTTATCCATAAGTTCGTCCTCTATAATCCAATCCATCGCTGATATTGACACAGCTATTGAAAACAATCCCCAGCACACCCCTTAAGCAAACCAAAGTCATGTCCCGAATCTCTAAGCGCCTGCTCAACATAGGGCGTACAATTCTTGGGGATAGCAAAATACGCGAGCGATCAACGCTGCTGACTGAATTACAAGTTTAGAAAAGGCGGGATACAGTATCCCAAGTTGTGCGTGAAATCGAGCGCGTAGGAGCACCACGTGCACACAGTACTCCTCAGTCGTGGCCTGGCTACAAGTGGAGAGCAGAATCATTACCTTCCCGCTTCCTGGCATCATCCTTGACTTTCCAGCATACGGTACCCCCCCCGTGTGCGATCCCCGGGCGAACAGATCCATATACGCCCCTTTTTGGGAGGTACTGTATCCTGCCTGCTTCTCCTCAAATTACAAATGTGTGTATGCCTGCTACGGCAACTTGCGTAATCAAGATAATAACTCCATTAGAAAACTTTTTTTTCCTTTAAAGGCAGCTGCACTACTGAGGCAATCGCGCAATGTGCTCTAGAAACTCATTCTCACCGTAATGACGCATCAATAACTGAGTATGACTGGTTGAGGTAGCTGTAGAGGGCTTTGAGGAGTGCATCTCTTGCTTCACGAATCATATCTCGGGCTTGTGATGATAGGCCGACCACATCAGGGTTAAGCAGAAGCAGAGCCTGAAAGTGCTATTGACTTCATCGGACAATGCAGCTTCCCAAAGGGATCTCACCTTGAGACAACTGAATTCCGGCCTGATCAGCGCGTAATCGCCGAAGTGGGGTAAGCAATTCTTCGAATACACGAGAGAGTACCGTAACCACGGATGGTGCATGTGAAGCAGACAGCACAAGAATCTCGTCATTCGGTAGTAGTAAATGCGGTAGTGACATACTTCTTTGCATGGTACTCAGAAGAGCAAATGATGGCGAAAATTGCTTCAGCAATTGCATCTGTAAGCAAAATCATTAACTTATGACTGCCCAAGGGGCCATATTCCAGCCCTACAAGGCTAATTAGTGGCTCATAGATGGATCTGACCAGACTTACTTTGTCAACAAATGGTATTTCTGGCAAAGGGTGTAGCATGTTCGCCCAACCAATTATATGGTTGACTGTTCGTTGTCTACTGGTACGGCATTCAGTATCTTCTCGTAAGAGCCTATCCATATTTTGGCTGCTAAGGGCACGCTGTTCAACGTCGACGAGCATTTGAAGAAGTCGACATGATGCACTCGCGTTTGAGTCCTGCAACATGTACAGTACAGTTGTCGACCTAATTCTAAGACTAGAGAATATTTTGATGTTTCTAGAGGAAAGTTTCTTTCGAGAGGAAGGTTTCTTTCTTTCACTGGAGGAATTTGGAGGAGCTAGAACGCAGAGAAACAGGAAATCTGCTAGTTTCTGCATCTTTTTCGAAATTCATTTACAAGTGGTATCCAGCGAGATCGCGCTAAAAGGCAGAGGGTACGATGGCTGGGGCGGGTGGTTGCTGCCAACATCATTGGTGGAGGGGCGGCGTGGGATGTGGCCTCTCGCAGCCCTTCCACCAATAATACTGGCAGCTACTACCCGCCTCCAGCCATTGTACCCACTGCCTTTAATGACTATCTTCTCTGCTTAGCTCCAAAACCGCTGGAATACTAGAATGGAAACGCTGATATCTTGAAAGCACATGGCAGAAACGGAAATCGGAAGTGCCATTCAGAGGTGCAATTCGCGCTGCAAGCTTGCGAAAAGTGGGCCTCATACCCTTAAAAAAATAGGGCCTTTTGGGTACTAGACCTTATTTTCAATACGATGTGCGCGGTCCCACTGTTACGAGGGAGAACAGAGCGGAACGGGGACGGGAAACCGGTCGGCATTCACCAACCATCAGACTGGTTCTATTTCGCATTTGCCATAATTGAGAGGTAGACTTAGGATTCATGCGATTTGGAACATGCAAGCTGAAAAATTGAATCACCATTTTTGGCGATGGAATGCTTTCAGAATCCGAGGTATCGTCTTGATTTGTTGACGTGCGCTTCCGACGCTTTGTACTTCCAATTCGGTCACGTTCATTTTGAATAGCTGAAATAGAAATAGAAGGAGTTATCCAAAAATTATCCAAAAATCAATTTCCAGTTCTAGTAGAAATGAATTTTCTCAGTAAGTTCTACTACTCAGGAAAAGTTGCCAAGGTGTTTCCCTGTTGAAACTGACCTTCGGGTCGCATTCCAACGACTAGACATTTTTGAAAGCGGCAAAATCGACAGGCATTACGGTGGTCCTTGTCGATGCTGCAGTTCTTCTCAAACCGGCATGTGTACTGCAGATTTTGGAATACACTGAAAAGGAAGTTAATTCAAGTTTTTGTTTATTTAATTACATTGTTTTCATGTGAATTGGTCCACAAAGACGCATGTTGAGACTGTAAAGTAGGGTTGGCACAGGACTTCTGGATTTAGTTTCGAACTTTGCGCCTTATTTATGGGAAATGGTCACGGCGCACTAAGGCCATCTTTAGCGTATGACCGCATCGCAACCGCTCGCAGCCGGAATTCCCAATGAAACTCTCTTCTTTCTATGGCACTAGCTTAGTGAAAGTTTTAGCAAAGGTTATTGGCATTTTTTTGTATTGAGTGCTGCCAATCGTTACCAAGAAAGGTTTCGCAGTTCGAGGAATCGCTGCTACCGTATTCCGTGAGCTTCGCCAAGTTTTTCTTCACCACCCCTGGATTCGTTGCTTGCTGCCTACAGCGCGCTTCGCGCGCGCACTCTGCGTTTAGGAAGGAGAACGGATTTCGCAACGATAGGGTTACGGTAACAATGGTTCGTGGATTGCGAA